TTCTGATAGATCATGCAACATACATAATACGATCCCCGAACCGTCATGGAAAATATGAAGAAAAGCATGATTATAGAAGGCTACTGCTTTGCAAAATTATAATAATTATTACCAATGAGATCCCATGATCAACATTGTTGGAGCAATTAAAAACATCTATTCTGAGACTGGAATGAACAGTTACAAGCCTATGGTATTTTCAGCCCCTCGTTGTCTATGATTAGATGGAACGGAAGTAGCAATTTGAATATGGTGTTACGGAACGAACCAACATCTGGTTGGATTAATTAGTCATTCATATACGTTAACAACTCTAAAATTAGAGGTGGGTTAGTGATTTAGGACATTTTTTTCAATTAGGGTTCAACCGTGAATGGCGAAGAAAAAAGTCAAAAGATACATCCACGACTGACCCCTCGGGTGAAAGTACTCCAAGGCATTCAGTGTGATTCCATCCACACAGTAGTTATCCTAATCAAATCGTACAGGTTCTTTCGGGCTAGTGACCCAAAACCCAAGGTTGAGTCACCTCAAAGGGAATTAAATAACGTCATCCGACTGATTTTACAATTTCTTTCAGTGGATTATAGTCGGCAAGAAACAATGCTACACACGCGGATACACAACAGGATGATTAAATCATTTGAGACACGAGCTGAGGTATATGTGTATATATGCTCAACACGCGGATTTGCGTTATAAAAAACTAATGCCATCCATAGAATCCAATCTATGAACCAATTATCACACGATGCTCGTATATGATGTTGACTTGAAAACCATTGTGCAAGACAAACAACAACAACTATAGTCTTTGTCTTCGCTCGCTGTGATCAGACAAACAAATCTTCGCGACACAAAAATTTAAGGAGCTTAAGTCTAATTCCAACTTATCTAACGATGTTCGTGTACATGCTATAATGGAAAAGATAGGATATTCTAATCCATCGCACTTACCACACCTCGTTCACCGTGACCGCCGCTACTGTAGGTTACAGTTAGAGTGGACGAACACATTTCTGCATACCACGGGACAGAGCCATGCTCCGAGGCCGAACTGACACCGAGTGTATAGATACTGTTTGTGTAGCCATCACAATTGCAATTGTCACCGCTTTTGCCACCGTTTCCACTGGCCCAGACAAAAATGGAACCGAGACCACCTCGACCCTGAAAACAGGGGGTAGAGGGAGATTGTGTGAATAAATTGAGTTAGAGGTGATCACCAAGGGCGAAAGGGAAAATGATCTGGTAGGGAGAGGTTGGACTGTACCGACCATGGAGCATATGTGAGTCGTACAATCAACAATCGAAACGGCCATGCGCTCAACCATTTAGCGTGTACCTCAGGAAAAGGGATTTGAACTTTCGACTCGACAGTTCGCGGTTTCCAGTCTCCAACAGGACACAAAAGATATACACAATGTGAACGGGTCTCAACGAATACCAGACAATTATCGTTATCTGTCATTACAAAAAATATTCATTTTGCAAATACCCGGTAAATCATAACCGTGGGGAATAACTAAATCTTCCGAAATCCGCAACGGCACTTAGAATCCAGTGTCTCCGACCTCCCACGGACTAAATCGACGACAATGATAAGTAAAAACAAATTCTTGACTGAATACGAACATTTAGTGAAAATGCTTTCGGATTCACATAATACACGGAATGAGAAAAGCTGAGAACCGTTCGGTTGAATAGAGCCGCAAAAAGATATATGCAAGGAAACGGTCGTAATCAAAGGCAGTAAAATATTCGGTGCACATTGAAAAGCAAGACAGAAAGCAGTAGGTCATATGCTCTGGGTCTTTTCAATACGGTAGTGGGGTTCTGATTGCGGGAGAAAATTGAATAATACTATACCGCAGGAAACAAATACACTTGCCGAAAATGTTACAGCTGGATAGGAACAGAACGGAAATTTTTAAGTACACATAATACATGAATATCGATTGATGCGAAATCCTATTCAGTAATTTGAAGGTGTAAGGGGCATCTGACAGGAGTATAACCTCTGAGCTGGTGGATCGACACATACCTAAAAGGCTCCTTGGCATCAATCAATAACCCGGATCCCACTTATGACGCCAACAACCCGAGGCTATCAACGGGGAACACAGCCCGTTTAACAGGTGTGATCGACCTAGGATGAAAAACCTAGATGAGATATCGTACGCCATGCGAAGACAGCTACTCATTTATGGGCTGATGAGAACTGCTCTATTCCGAAGGCTAAAGCGAACTAGAGCACATGGGTCCATGGTTTTCATCCACATTATACCAAATGAAGAACTAGCGCCCATAAATTCAGCGAAACGATTCATTAGCGAACTACTGTGCGCAGTTGGTTATTTACAAGCTAGAGGTGCGTTCTCGAGAAAAAAAGTTAGGTGACCCTGACAACGAACTTCTATGATCTTTCTGAAGGCATCTTATTTTTTACACGGAGTTATCTGAAGTAAAGTAACATAATTAACTACCTATATAAGTTAGTTTACGGTTAACAACCAACCTGAAAAGTTTTTGCCAGAACTGGGAAAATATAAAAGAAGATAACAAAGAGAAGATGATCTCGGGCTCTAAACAGCACGCCATTTTTAACAGCATCCTGTTTTTGTGCTTTCTATCGATCGGCATGAACACGCAACTGGTTTCGATTTTGAGTCATGTTCGTTAGAGTTTCTACACCATGGCTTTCATCGTTTACCGGGCCCGAGCTCAGTGGTCGGGAAGGGCTTATAACGACTTCACGTTTCTATTCTAATTCATTGACCAAAAGCTGCAACGCTTCTTCAAACCATACACGGAACCACGATAGCGATCTGTATGGGTAGACGATGGGTGCGCATGGTTGCATAGCATGTGTCCTAGTCAATGAGGCTTACATTACGTAATCATTTTAGTAAGTGGACGGCTATCTATATCTAATACCTATAATCGGACCTCGTTACTGCTTCCATTATGTTACTAGAGGATGCGAGCAATGCTTCGGACACAACGATGCTCGAATAGTGAACGATGTCGGGTATATCATCAACACAAAGAGATGAGGCGATAGATATCTCACTTCGTCGGAGATACGTTTCACCAATACTTTGTACGCACATCATCTGTCGGTACTGATGAGAGGAGAATACCGTGACCGGAGATCATCTCACTCCTGACCACCATTTTCCGTCATCAAAACCGCCCCCCCCCGCAGTAACCGAATTATCGGAGTACGAAATGAAAACCGCCATGCTAAAATTTCCACACCGGAAAAACTGTTTCACATCATTCTGACACCTGAGAAACAACAGCGCAAACAGTGCAACGCAGTTGTCAAATCAAGCATACACTGGGGAAAAATGTTCCAAATGGATCAGCTGTTCAATCTGATGCGAATGATTTAGCTGTCACTCATACACGTACAGAGGTCCAACCACCGTCCAGACTTAGCAAGTGCCGATCATTTAGTCGATTTATATCCGTTGATTGGCTCGCACACAAACGTAATTGACCATCCTGCTTAACTCCCACTGAACGGGCATGAGGATGGCATACTCAACGTACAGTTGGTGACATCGGGCTAAAGCTCAAGGTTCGAACCGACGAATGTTAACACAGGGACGGAGTTTTGAGATGCATTCAGTGGATAAAATGGACAGATGGGAATGGAAAAAGGAGTGAAGTTTTTTTACCTCATTAAAGTATGGCCTAAGGATTTTCTGCGGTGGTAAAAAGGAAACGGAAGATTACAAGAGCCCTTTTTTATGGAGAAAGAAACTTCGTTCAGTTTGTGATTTAATCTCAAACCGGAAGTGCGGCGTGTATAAGGTGAAACAGTTCTGCTCCTCAGAGGAGCCTGGAAATCAATCCCAAGAGAAACACATACGATATCTTACCGAGACCTGAGTTTCCGCAAGCGTAGCCGGTTCTGAGCATACACTGTAGAATGATGAACATAAGAACGATAAGCCTCATGAGATAACCGAAAATTTAAGCTCTGAGATTTGGACTGGAGAATCGTAGAGGGTCAACCAGAATAGATGTAGTAGTCAGCTGGTGACAGCTACTTACCATCAAAGCTGGTTAGCAGCAAAAGGATTTGAACCTTGCACCTTAGTACCCAAAGCACGACAGTGAAAGCGACTCAAACCACTTGACCAACAGAGAATGGACCGGTAACTATCAGTTCAGTCAGAATAATAATACGTTCGTCGTTCTACAGCTAGCAGCACACAAACACAAAATTATAAAAACGCACACAAGTGGATGCCGCCGTAAAGCAACCGGATTTAAAGTGGCACGCTGCATAGTCCACACATCGATGAGCACAAAGAGGTTCTGGAGAGGAGATAAGAGAACTCGAGCACAGAGTGTCTACGGAAAACGAAACATCGGACAAAACAGAGGAAAGCAGTTCAATCCACGTACTATCTCTCACAGTGAGATGTTCACTTTGTTGTTTCCTGAAAATTTCTTAAACGCACATAGATATGGAGATACATTGTGTGAATCAATCCGGTGAAATTCGGTACTGGAAAACGTGACTTATTTTAGACTAGAGGTTGACGAAATTAGCCCAAAATAATGAACAAGATTTTCATCCCGTTCATGCAGTGATAAAATGAACATTTTAAGGTAGTTGAGGGATTTCCTTTCCCTCAGAGTATCAGGAAGCCACAGGAACTAAAACGATTTTCGAAATCCCAATAAACATGATGGGAACAAAAGCATCACATTGTTCTGCGAATGCTGAAAGAAGAATGCGCAACGTATGAGACACTCAGTCCTACGTTTCTCACGACAATTACAAATAACAACATGTTCGTCAAAGAAATTGTGTAATATGTTACATACACAAACTATTGTACTGTGGAAGTGCTGCATGATAGAGTGGTCAAAGTGGATAGGATAAATTCGTAAGACCGATGGATAACTTTTACAGCTCATCGTGTACTCCAGTCAGTTTGTGAAAGATATCACATCCTCTCGGACCTGAAAACTGACAGGACGTATGTCCCAAATGAAGCAAATTGGGGAGTAAAAATCTGAAAACTAAATTGATCGAATTTGACGCTAAATAACTACTTGACTTGATTAGGACTTTTCAAAAATACAGTTCAGCCAATGTGCTGTCAATCTTGTTAACCAACAATACAGCTTTGTTCATACGAAGAAGACCAACCCGGAGACCCAAGCGATTACACAGCATAAACACATCAGTTATGATTTTTCTTTCACATAAGCAGAGCAAAGCGAAAAATAGCTCCAAGGAAGAACGGATGTGACTGCCACCTTTATAGACATAATGGTGATCATTGTCTACCACCCCGAGAAGTCCATGATTCCCATCTGATCTCATTCACGACCACCATACTGTAAGGTACTACTCACAATTGTGAGTAGTAGGTAACATAGTAGGTGATTTATTTCGGCGATCAAAAATTAACAAAATCACCGAAGGCAGATTACTGGATGTTAAGGAATAACTATCGACTGTTACATTGAATACCCGTTGTGCGGCCAGGAACTGCGATGGTATGCATGTATATGATTCATGCACATCGAATACCGCATCAACGTAATCACTCATGTGGTACTCTGCTAACACTCTCTGGGAATGATCACCTCAAGGGAGATGTCTGAAGACGCTCTAGGAGATTCGGTTAGATTGCTGGCCTTATTATTTCGGTGGCATAGTATGTCTTATCTAGAGCTCTCTCATTCATGGCTGTTTGAGTTCCAGCAATCGATTTGTTCAAGATACATTTTGAGGAAGCATGAAATACCTAACTGTTCAACACTACATAGTGAAAGAACGTAATCAATGACCATTTCATTATTTTATTTGCACTGTCATCCGAGAGCAGTGTGTAAAGATCCTATGGGATTCAATGAGCTTCAGCTTTGCAATTTACCAATAATAAAAGCTTAGGAAGACGGAGAACAAATATGCAAACGGCCACAACGCAGATTCAATCCAAGTGATCAGGCACACTGGAGCTCATACAAATTGCCCTCATCCGTTTTTTTTTTCAAGTGAGCACACACTGAGGATATGCATGTATATATGGCAGGCTCGTTTCACGACGAACAAAGATGATTGCCAACGCTAGTTTAGACGCTTTTACTGTACAGAGTGGAAGCCCGTAGTCCGAGAGGGAGAGATGAGATACCAGACAACAAAAGAACACCAAAGAACGTACTATGTATCAACTCAAACAGCAAACAACAAATACTAATAATACTACTGCTATCGACATTCGACGGGGTAACAGCTCGGGAGAGATTAGAAGAATGGACCCAGATGCTGGTGGGTGCAATCTGTCTGTATTCCATCCGGCAGTGAAATTTTCATTCGATGCCGCATACAGAGGTTGTGTCCTCTATTGTAGGGCCACGAAAGGTGTCAAGCGATTCATCATTCGTGTTCGACATTATATGATTATAAAATAGAACAATGAACTTGATCATTGGAGAGCCTTCATGTGAGTAATAAATAGCAATCTAAACTGATCGTGTGCTATCAGAAAAACTCCCCCCCCCCAAAAAAAAAGTGCACACCATATATATCATAATGGGAATGACATAATTGGTGTTCATGGGGGAAATAATGTGTTCACTGGGCAGTATAGTCATATTTGTGAACGATAGCGGCTAATCCAAGGCTATCAGGGAAAATCAGCGTAATTGAGCAAGCAAGATTTGAAAACAACCAACAAGTCGTTGAGCAGCTTCGTTGGTATTAGGAATGAATCATCGAAAGTACTATTTTAACCTTCTTAGAAATATTTTTTCTTCCTCTTATTGAATATACGATTGTACAAATAATTTTCAAGAGAAGGTTGATTAGAGTGATTGGACAGAGAGAAGTGAAGATACGCAAGGGTACTGGGGTTTGAAAGCACAACCTCCGGAGAGATATGACAGTGGAATATATATATCTACATATAACCGACTTGCAGCCAGGCATGGTGCCAACGCCACAAAATAATCACATTAACAATAAAAGAGGATAGATGGAGTGACAAGGTGAAACAGTTAAAACGGTCAAATATACCGATCTGTAAATACCGTAATTGAAAACGAATCCACCGCTCGAAAGCAGATCATCATAACCACTACACAAGCCCCATTGGGTGTTAACTGCACTGAGGAAAGAGTCCGTCCGCCGGATGAATCACCAAACGAAAGGGTAAAAGCTTACTGTAGAATGCGAATCACCTACCAAATAACACAATATTTCGCTCAAAATCAAAACATTGACTTATGGCTTATGTAAACATACTTCATTGTCAAAGTCATGTTTCAACAGAAAGATATGTAAACAATGCCCAGCAACATTCACACAACTTTTAAAACAATATTGATGTCGTCGGATTGACTGTTTCAAATCCGCAGTGCTTTTGGGCTCCCCAGTCGGCGGCAGGAGGATCCTGGTCCTCAACTGGTTACCAGAAGAACCAACTTTTTATACTATATTTCAATCCCAAATGTAAACAATACTAACTAATGCTAACAACACGCCGACCACACGCATCACCACTGCGATCAGTACGATGGTCGTGACAAAGCGAGATGCGCTGGGAATCAAAATGACAAGGGCGCGGGGAGAACAAAAGTACGTCCAGAAATGCGATTAGATAATCAGAAAGAGAAAACATTCAATTTGTAATATTGAAAACACAGCGATGTCGGTACAGGTGAAAATAAGCCGACGTTTCGGTTACCGTGGGTAACCTTTATCAANCCTGTACCGACATCGCTGTTTTCAAAATTACAAATGATATAAAACATATCACATGGCGCATCGATTTTTCGATACACTCCGAACGTTGTTCGGATCTGACACTCTGAGAAAACATTCAAAATTGCCAGACACGTGTTGCTGTACACAGATAGATGGAACAATTGAAACGGTATGCTCAATATCATAGTCAGGAAACTGTTGGACAAGAATCCGCCAAACCGGCGCTTAGCGCGAGCAAATCTAACGACTGTGACAGAAAATTTACCAAACTATATCTCACTTACGTCCGAGGCTAGACTGTGTGCCAAATAAATCACGATACAATAATTTTTTTACATATGAGCGGAAAAATGCCAGGGTGCGCAGGTCAAGGCAGATGAAAGAAAAGTGAAGATGCGTGTTGTAGCAAATTAACATTGTTTATTTCCTTGACCAAATGAACGGTTGACTTGAGTGAGCAATAAGTCGCTGACTTTATCTGGGCTAGAGATTACGAAGCAATCTCATCGGTCCCTATCTCCTCTAGGGTTATTCTTCAATGGAACACACGTTACACTGTATACTGTCGAATACGCTCGATGATGACCGAGAGAAAAACAATAAATAGGCAAAGTAATAAACATTACATGTGACAGGTTGAAACTTAATGGTAGGAACCCAAAAAAAGCTACCTACCATCTGAATTCCATTTCGGAATGCCAATTGAGCTAACCGTCCTGGACCGTCCACTGTTTTGCCATCATCCTCCGGACCCCACGAGGCGGAATACACATCGATATGTTGCAGCTGATGTCCCAGTGAGCGTGATTCCATTGCATCGGACACGTCTCCATCCAGCATACGAACACCACCGATCCGGGCACGATAGGCGATCCCGAGTCCGCAAAGGCTATTGTTCGCCACAGCAGCCACTTCGCCCGCACACCGAGTCCCGTGACGACTAGCAGCATGAAATACAATTAGATGAATAGGGGGAGATAGAGGAGGGGGGGGGCAGGAGGGGAGCGGGAGAGAGATGATTAAGTTAAGTTGCATTCAACTGGATTAACAAGTCTTATCTCTCACAAGGAAATTTGACCAAAGTTTCAGTTTCAGTTTGCACAACCATTAACCATGCACTATAGTGCGCCGGTTTTGGTTGCTATCTTTCGGCTGCCCGTTTGGATGAACATTAGAAAAAAGACAGGAAAGGTTGAAAGTAGGATCAAAGAGAAAATTG